CTGGGCTGTATGCTCTTTGTATTACATCATTTTGCCTAAAAGTTTTATTATAGTTGATAATTAAGGAAGTGAATTAATAACTATGTTATTTATCATCACGATCACGTTACTAAGACACTGTTTACAACCATGCTTAAGAGTTCAGTTTATTATATCAGATTGCCTGAGTTTAAAATCTGCTCTGCCATAAACTATATAATGAGATCTATGGATTATCTTGGGCAAGTAATTTAGTCTCCCTAAACTTTAATCTTCCCATATATAAAACCTTGATATTAATAGTACTTGTCTTATAGTTTTTAAATGAGGATCAAGTAAGACCTGTCACACAGCACTGTGCCTGTCACAGATTATGCTTATTGATAAGAATATTTATTTTATCAATAAGATTTTCATTAAAGTGAAATTAACATGCAGTGAAATGCTCAGGTCTTAAGTATATAATTTCATGTGTTTTATTAGTGTATAAGACTGTGTAATGACTTTCCTAATTAAGATATAGAATATTTAATTCACCTCAGAAATTTCTCTTGTGCCCTAAACACTATAGGTGACCTGTGTTCTGATTTTAATCATATAGATTTATTTTGCTGCTTTTGAAGATGATATAAATGGCATCGTCATGCAGTTTGTACTGATTTTTGCCTAGCTTCTTTGGTTTACCATTCTTTGAGATTCAACCATGTTACTGAAAGCATGTATGTATGTATCTGTATATTACATATGTTTATATATTTATATTATAATATGTGTGTGTTATAAACTCCCAAATGCACTGCTATAATATTTGCATTTAAAGTTGGGTGTCTTTTAAAGGAATAAAGATTTAAAAAGTATATCTTTTGTCTTTTTACATATTAACCATTTTCAGTGCTCTTCGCTTGTCATAGATCTGGGTTTCCATCTGGTGTCACTTTCCCTCAGCCCGAAGAATTTTGTTTAGTATTATTTTTATCTCAGTTCTGCTTGTGACAAATTATCTCAGCCTTCGTTTATTTGAAAATATCTTTGCTTTTATTTTTGAAGACTCTATTTACTGTACATAGAATTCTATGTGTACATTTTCTTTCAGCACTTTAAAGATTTCATCAACTGTTTTCTGGCACCAATTATTTTAATAAGTCAGCCATCATTGTAGTATTAGCTTCCAGCAATTGTGATGTTTCCTTTTTCCCTGTATACCTTCAAAATTTTCATTTAATTTTTAGTTTTTAGATATGTCACTAAAAAGTTTTCACTGAATTCATTCTGCTTCAGATCCACTGAGTTTCTTGGATCTATATGTAATATTTGTAAAATTTTGGGAAATTTTTGACCATTATTACTTTAAATATGTTTTTGCTTTATATACCACTTTGTCAGGAGGCTTGATATTATCTGTTTCCAGTAACTCTTTTAATTTTTTTGCAATAGCTTTCTCTGTGATTTTTACATTGGTCATTTTTATTGATATGTCTTCAAGTTTACTGATCATTCTTTTTTTCCTACTGCTATTCTGTGATTGCTAATCCGCTATTAAAACCCATGCACAAATTTTTCATTTCAGGCATTACAAATTTCAGTTCTAGAGTTTTCTGTTTTGCTTTTTTCTTTAAATAGTTTTAATTTCTCTGCTGAGATTCCCTACTGTATACTCATTGACCATATAAACATCATGACCATTTTTCCTTTAAGTCCTTGAACTATTTAAAATATTTTGTTAACTGAATGTCTTTATTTGCTAATCGCATCTCAGATTTTATTGGTTTATACTGACTGCTATTTTTTTAAAAATATGTGTCCTATTATGTCTCACTTTGTATGTCTCCTGGTTCATACAAATTTGGAGTCCTACCTCTTTGTTGTTACTTTGTTTCTGTGATTTCTTCCTCAATACCTGCGGCTCAGGCAGCCCCACACTCTTCTCTTAAACCTCAAACCAATAAGATTGATCCTTTCTGCTGATTCTAGCCATCCCTGGGATTAAGGGTTTTCCTGGAATGTGGGACTTTTCATGCTAAGACCAGGTAAGTTCCAGGCAAACAGGAAAAAATGTTGGCTATCCTTTGTGTCCTCATGGGAAAAACTCTTATTCAGTTCAAATCTATGGTCAAATCTTCACCATGTACTGCATGCTTTTGGTAACTTTCTACTACTTCACATAGTTATTTAATATTTTGCCTATCAGTTATAATTGTTTTCTGCAGAATGGTTAGCTTACTTCCTAATTGCCAAACCAGAACCTAACTAACATGAAGTCCCAACCAATTAAGAGATATGGTATCAACAACTAAACTGGTGAAACTTTTGACCTCATAATTCACTTTTGGATATAGTAACAACAACAACAACAACAACAACAACAACAACAACAACAACAACTCATTGTCAAATTGAAATCAAAAATAAAACTTTTTTTTTCCTGAGAAAAATAACCTGTTAAATGATTTTCCAATATATTGGCAATGGCTTGTTTGGATGAGAAGACATACATGGTAGTTTTTTTTCTTTTGACTTTACCATATTTAAAAAATTTTAATATAAATATACACATATATTATTTATAATAAACGTATAAGCATCATTGTTATCAAGTAATTGCTATTTTAATGTTATTAACATATCTTCTTAAAAATGGCCAAAAATAAATATAGCTAAAAGGTGATTAGAAAAAAAATTACTAGATGAGGTCTCATAAGTAACAGTGAATTAACATGTGTTGCTAAATCTTAGAAAATATATTAAAATACTTTTTTTAGAGAGCAGCCACCAGATGGGAATGATCCAAAAGAGGCCAATTAAAGTTTACTGGCCAGGAATAACACAGTTAAAATTGCACTCAGATACTATAAATAGTAAAATTTTCTCTATGGATTCTCTTAATATGCTCGAAGGTATTGCATTATTGAAAAAGATTATAACTCATAGGGATCATTATGATACTAATAAGGGACTGGTAGATGAAAGATGAATTACTGCTTTGTGAATGTGATAGCATCTATTCTCACAATTTCAAAATGTTTATCACTAAACTCAAGAAAAAGAAGCTATATTAGAAAATTGGAAATATTCTGGATGGTAGAAAAAAGAATTGTCACGTTGATTTATTACATGGTATGAAACAATATTTGCAACCTAATAGCCTACATATCTGCTGGGTTTGGCCTCCTCTGTGTTTTAAAAATTAGGACATTTCTCCTAATTTTATTTCCATTTCCTCTGGAAGCTAATGGCACAGAGCAGTGAGAACTCCATTCAGACAGGGCATGGTCGGTCTAGCGTGCGTGATCTCCACCACTGCCCTGACTCACAACCAGCCTGTCTCTTTCATTTGTCTCACTTGCTTGGTTTTTTTGTAGGCATCTGAGTATGTAAGCCTTAGCCTACAAAAATATGATTGAATATCTCCACTAAAAACAATTATACAACTATAAACAACTTAGAGGGGGTTTTGTTAAGAAAAAGAAAAAGAAAAAGAAAAAAGAAAATGTAAATATAAGGAGGGACAAAGTCCCTCATGGTACAACAAGGAGAAAGGGAATTACAAAAAAAAGGGGGTTTACATTTGCTCTGACTCCAATTCAATCACAGTAGAAAGAAATTAACTGACTGTAGCAGTGAATGTTGTTGTTTTAATTGTTTTTTTTTTTCCCCTTATGTCATAAAATAACTGTTTAAGGCAGAATTCTAAAGGCATGAAAGTTTCCAAGTGTGTCTATTAGACCTTTTTTGCTTCTTAGTCACAATGTGTCTCCTCAATCTATGTCATTAGCAGAAGACACAGGTAATTCTCTCTGCTTCCTTTGGGTATATTTTAGGGTTGGAGACGAATTGCAGACCTACCCATCTCATATTCTATTCCTATGCCTCCTGGACTCCTTGTTCATGTTCCCTACTTGGAAGACTTGGTTCTTATAGAAAACTCACTGGTTTTGATATGACCCCCTGCTATGTTCCAGGAAGGGGCCCAATTGGTTCTCTTCACCTCTTTATAAACATCTTTGCTGTGGTCTTGACTCTACAGGAACCTTGAAACACTCTTCTACTTTCTTCTCTGTGATCAATGAATGGAGTTTTCTCTGTGATGGATAAACTAGGTAGGCATAGAGGGATATCTCCCATGTGTAAGTATTCACAGTAACATCCTAGGCAAGAAGGAAGCATGACAACACTACTCATTCACCTCGGAAGTTTTCAGGATTGTCACAAAGCAAAACAAACAAACAAAAATGTTGATCCCACACCGCAAACAGAAATCCATTTATATTGTTAAATGTCCTCTTAATACTCTCCTTTTGTCCAACTTCCCTTCAAAAAGCACTCTTCTATTTTGTGGTCTATGTTGTTTACTCAGCCAGCTATCTCCATACAATTATATTCTTCAACCTTTAAGTAGTTTGTGTCCTTACACTTTCACTGGAGACAGAGGACAGAAAAGGGAGGAGTGAATCCTGGGGAGCACAGAATTTCTTCATGTCTTTTAATTCAGTATCTTTTCCCTTCAATCAAATTGAAAGTCATCAAGTCTGCTTTGAAACAGAATGGTTTATAGAGAAACACACAGTCCTTCCCCAATCTCTGCTCCCCCTCCCCCACAATGTGATCAAGGTTTCTAAGACTGCACAGTATTAAAAAAGCATTCTTGGCAATCTGAGGAGACAAACCTTCTGTCATTGGTGATAGTTTATGGGCTTGCTAAAGCATCTCTTGTCCCCATAAAAGCCAGTCTTTGCATGCTTGTGTGTGCAGTGAAGGGTTAAAAAGTGCTGGAAAGATACCACGCATGTGTTAATTCATGCTGCAGCACCGTGCATGCATCACTTCCACTTTGACCTCAGAGTTAATCTGCGTGTTAGTTGATCATGCAGAGATTCTTGTGATTTTTCTATTTCTTTTACACACACACACACACACACACACACACACACACACACACACACACACAGCCCTGTTCCCTCTAAAAGAAAAATCATATCAAAGCAAACAAACAAACCTACAACGATGGACCTGGAGGAGTATGTGTGAGTGTGAGGGGCATGAGTATGTGTACAAGTGTGCACGCCTTTCTCTCTCCCTTATTTGTACGCCTTTCTCTCTCTCTTATTTGTCTCTCTGTGTCTCTCCCTGCACCCTCCCCCTGCCTCAATTATATTATTACCCCAGACTTGGAAGCTGCTCCCTGAGCTAACGCTTTGATGGTATCTGCAAGCATTTATGCTGATCTTATTTCTGCCCCCTGAATATTAATTCCTGAAGCTGGTAGCAATACATCTCCCCAGTGACGGGACCTACTAGAGGCAGGCGGGGGGAGCCACCATCAGATCATAAGCATAATAATACAAAGAGGAGGGATTCTTCTGCTACCGAGAGGCAAGAGGCGAGAGAGAGGAGAAAAAAAAAAAAAAGCGATGAGTTCACCAAATATATGGAGCACAGAATGCTCAGTCTACTCGACTCCTGTGCTTTCACAGAAAATGACGGTGTGGATCCTGCTCCTGGTATCGCTCTACCCGGGGTAAGAGGTGCCGTTTTCGGCTTCGTTTTGTTTCAGAGAGGTGGGGGAAGGGGTGGGAATGTGGCACCATGGAGACCACCCAGATTTAAAGCACTCTTCTGGGATTTGGGGCTTTATAATTTAGGGGGATGTGAACCTGCAGGGAGGGAAAAGGAGGGAAGAAAGAGGAAGGTCACTTTTGTTTATTTATTAATTTATTGGATTTACTTGTTTTGTTTTAGATTGGAAAAGCTAACGTCATAAAGACTTTGTGTCCGGGGAGTAGCATTTTGATATTACTGCAAAATGAGGTCTAGATAGGCTGTGCTGATACATGCCTGCGTTTGAGGCCATGTTGGAGGCATTTTGGGTGGGGGTCTGGGGGAGAAAACTGCAAATGAGTTCCTGGCAGACACCTGAGATATGGGAGATATGTGTTTTTTTGGGGGAGGGGGGAGATGGGAGGGGTTCTGTTCCTGAATATGAAAGTATCACTTGCTCCTGTACTTTGGCATTCTCAAAATCAGTCAGCCAGGTTTTCTTTCCAGCCCCACTGACTTGGCAGCAGGCTCCTTGACGGGCAACCATGGTTCAGCACCAGGGACAGCAGTCCCGCTTAAGGCCAAAAGAAAAAAGCTTATCTAACCAATTAGGACTTCTCTAAATTTAAACAGGACACCCGTACAGTGCAGAAAGAAGGACGTTGGGGCCAGGGGCCCATCTGGGGACCCTGTTCTGATTATCCCGACCCCCCTTTTGAGATGGGAGGGGCACTTTTGGGCATGGACTAGAAAACCTAGTCAATGAATGCATGGAGGAATGTATGTCTGCGTTGCTGCAGTATTGAAAAAAAAAAATATGCTGAACCAGGGGAATGTGATGCCAGAATTGTGAAGTATGAATTGGTGCCTCAGAGCCTTGCTGCACTGAGTAGCAAAAGATTGGAAGGGGTGGGTGATGGATTCCCCAAAACCCTGAGCAGGTGTGTACTTTGAAGTGCTTTGCGCCTAAATTTTCTTGAACTTCCTCTTATTAAAAGTACCAGGGAATATCTCTCCATGTATAGTTCACCATTTATCTACCCACCTAAATGGCCCATCCCACACACCTCAGTATTTCCAGCAAGGACCAAAGTCAGGTTAGAGTTCCACTATTTACATTACTTGCACTCTTTGTAATGTCATTTTGAAATAAAGCTCTATATTTAGACTAATTCTAAATTCCTCTCCAAAACAGAAAATAAAAGCTAGCTATAGAATATATTAAGCCATTGTCCTAAGGTTTTTGTTAGAGTTGATACTCTTATGTAGTAGTTCTAACAAAGGGAGATAAAAGATATGGGGATTAAACCATTGCTACATTTTATTAAAAATGTCAAGTTAACTTCTCTGATCCTTAATTCTCTAGGGGAATTAATGGGATGTAGATTTTGATAAAGAAGAGACCCAGGCAAAATAAGGAGTGAACATCTCTCTGTGGAGTTTCTAAGCAGAGAGAGGGTCTGCTTAATTCTTCCAGCACTTTTCATACTTTCCTCATTTACTATAAAAATAAAGTGCATTTTCATTAAGAGTATAAGATAAGTAGCTTCCTCAGAAGAAGAGAGAGCCTTTTATTGGAAATGGTTTATGTGCAAATACATTTTAGTGGAATCCTGGGAAAACATTTTTCTATTCAAAATTTGCACACATACTTTTTTTTGGTCTAATGTATGCCACTCCTAATTTGTTTCAGAAATTAGAGTTGATAGTTACTTACAGACAGAAACTATCATTCTTATATTCCTACCATTTATGAAACCTGTGGATTATAATCTAGAGAAGACATAAGGAAATATGTTTTTCCTTCCTACTCATTTACATCCATCTTTGTAAACAATTTTATAACTAAATAGATGAGGATATTCTTATGTTTTTTATCTCTAATGGTTTTATTTTAACCAAAAATGTGTAATTTTATTATTATTCATAATAGTATCACACTTAAAATGTCTACTTTTTATAACAGTCTCACATTTTCTTTTCCAATATTATATAAAAATTAAAATTTAGAGGTGCATTTTAATCTTCAATTTTTAGCATAGTAGCCTAAATGAGCATTTTAAATAGTTTCAAATAATGTGAGCTATGTGTCATGTAAATTCTCCTATGGGATAATTTTTCACATTTCTCAGTAATGACAGAGAATCGAGTCATTGCAATTTGGTGCAGAGAATGTGATCAGTTTGCTGCAATTCCATAAAGAAGACATTTGAATGGCTGAATAAGGCTAGATAGAAATAAAAGCTTTGACCTGAAGCTGATCCTAAAGAAGGACCATAAGTGACTGGGAAAATGTGGGGTCCTAGGAAACAATTCAAAAGAGGGATTTTGGGTAAATCGTGGCATTAGAACCACCTAGAAAGTTGGAGGGAAATTTTTTAAAAAGTTAATTGACCTTTTCATTTACATAACTCCAAAGAGTAAGTTCCCCCCACTCATTAAATTGATTAAATTCATCAGGTAGTGTTTACACAAAAGTAAAACAGGGAGGAAAAGAAAACACTGGAGTGAAGATATCAATAGTTAATATTTCTTGTTATATGTGAAAGTTAATTTCTGAAACTCAAAATTATCTAAACTGTCACATATCTTGTATACAGTGCTGTCATAAACATCACTTGGAGAACTTGCAAAATGGTGATTCCTGGACCTTACACCTAAAGATCCTAAATCATTATGTCTGGGGTAGAGTCCAGGAATATTAATTTTAAACAAGTACCCAAGACTGTACATTGAAGAAAAGTGGTATATGCCTTGCTCATTTCCAAAAGTTTATTCATCACTATATTTAACGTTTACAAGTGCATTGATTGTTGCTACTTTTTTTATTCAATTGAGTATAATGAGTCACATACAGATTATTTTGTGTAGGAAAATTATTGAGTGTAATATACAAACCATAAAGGGTGAGAGATAGTTATAAAAATTTTTAATGAATTCACCTTATGTGTGAGAAAACATTTGTTGAAAATATAATAGAGATCTCCATCATTAAAGGTGTATATGCATGAGTATGTAATTATATTTACAACTAGATATATTCCACATGCAAATATTCATACGCATAGGTTTTAAAACAAATTTCCTAATTTTATAAACTATTTTGATGTAACTATATTTCATACCAGTGTAAAAATACCTTCCTTAAGGAAAAGAAAGAAATTGGGAAACAATAAAAAATTATTTAGAGTAAAAAGGAATAAGTGCAAGAAGTAAAGGTGTTTTATTTTATTCTTAGAATAAAATAAGAATTTATAGTATACTTAGAGTAATAAAGAATTATTTTACAAGGCTAGATTGAGCAGAGGTGAATTTGATTTAACTTTGAATAATCTAACTCTCACTTTGATATGCTAGCACTTAATTTTTAAAAGAAAATCAAGTTAAAGATTTGTAAATATATTCTGTTAGCTGTAGCCTGAACAGAAATACTTCAGGTGACTTTTCTTATGAAATGCTAAAGTTTTTTTTAAATCCCATAACTAATTTTTTCAGAGTGTTTATTTAGCAGGCTATTACTACACATGTAGAGGAATTTTATAATTCTTAACTATAACCCTATTTGTTTACAAAATTAATTTCAACAGACAAGCTTGTTGTGTCCATTCTTTCCTAAGGTTTTACCTAGTTTTATCTAGAAAAATTTATTCCTTGAGCATATTTAATTGTTTAGTTGTAGGCATAACATTGCAAATAGTCTACTCTGAGGCAAACATCTATCTGAAAAAAAGACAAAAAAGAAAAACATATCACCAAGTACTTTCCAGAATCCACTGGTCCACCACCTCTAGATAAAACATGTGGTTGTAGGCAGGAACGTAAAAATTGGCTTTTAGATAATTAGTTACATAAATATCTCTCTGATAACAAAATAACTGAATCACAGAATATTTAATGATAGAGTCATCTGTTCTATACATTTTAAAATGTGCTTCATGCAATGATTTTAATAAAATTGAAATGAGGTTAAGACCGACACTAGAAACTATCTGTTATATTATATTATATTACTTAAGTCGTGGCCATTTCTGTCACAATTTCCTAGCCATTCCAAGACAGACTTTACAGTTGAAGTACAAGCAGGCTGTTCTGGAATGATACATACTTGTGGTTGAAGGGGAACAGAATTTGCCATAAAAAATATGCTTCTTTGGTGTGAGGATTATGGCTGATTATTTTTAAGAAACAGCAGACATAAGAGAAGCTCTAAAAACTAGGAAGTTACCCTTTATAAGAGACATTTACATTTATGAGGGAAGTCTCCATTTGTAAAGGGGTCTTTCTCCCAGTACTAAAAAGTGAAGGATGCCTAAATCTCTAGCAACTTATCAGTGGAGAAAGCAAGGATTTAAATTTTCATAACAACCGTACTTTCAGTTTACTGTGCTTTGCCTGATAACCTCCCATGACCGGCTCTCCTTACCCCTAACATCTTTTGTCTTTAGCTAGAGATGGTACGTAAGGTAGTGGCTTGGGCCATTGCAGGGAGTTACTCAGTTTTCCAGGTAGCTTCTGTGTATACAGGAGGTATATGGTATACATGTTATTAAACTTATTTGTTTTTCTCCTGTTAATTTGTCTTTTTATTACAGCCAAGAACCTAGAAAGTTAGGGAGAAATTTATTTTTCCTCCCCTACATGGTTCCCCAAATTACTTCTGCTAAATTCACTGGTGGCAGATGACTGGTTAAAAGTTATAATTAGCACAATCCAGGAATTGTTTGACCACCGTGGGTGTTGGCACAATTTAAGTACTTAAATATTCAGGATTTCAATTGGGATAGGCATTCCAGATGTGCTACTCTATACAGGTAGATGTGAAGAAAAGAACTCATCTCTCTACTAGTGGGTTATAAGAGATGTGTGACATCTTCAAAGTCAGTATGGGGGAGGAAGAAGCTTTACTCTCTTAAGTTCTTTTGGCTGGTCTAATAATTAAATCTACATGAGACTGATTAGCAAGAGAAAATAACTAAATTT